AAGGGGATTGGGAGGGACATAGGGGGCCAATAAGGCATCTAGAGTGAATAGAAGGAGAAAGAAAAAGACAGATGGTCTTGGGGGGTGCAGGGAGGTCGGGCTGTTCTCCAGGGCCCTGGCGCCGCAAGCACAGCGCTGGCTCCGCACTCTGGCTCCTGCTCTTCCAGGGCACTACTTGTTGCCCCACGTGGCCATCTTTGAGAATGGAGGGTTTGGGAGGAAGCGGCTGGACTTCATGTAGGCAGAGATCTTCTTCAGGCCCTGCGGGAGGGAAAAAGAAGGCCAGACCTCAGGTCTGCTGCCCCACTGGGGCTCAAGGAGCTCTACACAAGTTTGGGGCCCTGGTACAGCCCTTCCACGTGGGGTCATGTGTTGGGGCAAAAGACAGCCTTCTGGGTTCCCCAGCCCTGGAAAATTAACACTTGCTATTTCCTATAATTAATGCAATGTCTTAATAAGACTGACCACATATGGAGACTCTACACTGTGCTAGGTGCTGTGCATCCACTAGAGATGACAATGTACCTTTAGAATCTCTACGTGACTACCCGACAAGAGAGGTTGTACTGTCACCATTCATTAGAAGAAAACCTGAGGCCCACAGAGCTTAAGCACCTCCCTCCTGCTCACACAGTTCATAAGTAACATGGTTAGAATGCAGCCTGGCTCTCTCACTCTCTCTCTCCATCCTCAGATCTTCTGCCGCACTCCCTTCCTCATAGCTGTAAACAAAAAGACCCGAGAGGCTCACCCACCATCTGGTTATTCTAAAGATTAAGTCACAACCCCACCAACATTGTGCCCAGAGGGGAATTCAGGATGGAGATAAACAGGATGAAACATTCTATTTTTTGGATGCAGGGCCCCTAGACAGTTAAGATGCAATCTAGGGAGGAATTTCAATGACTCAGATTCCTGCATCGTCCCATACATAGAAAAGCACTGACATCATTAACTTGAGATATTTGTTTTCTGATGTAGGAGTAATCTTTTACCAAGATATGTCATTGACTACGTTTATTTCCCAAGCCTCCTCCCCTTCCTGTTGAGAGCAGTTCCTCAGAGCTATCTGAGAGGCTGTCTCCCAGGCTATAATCCTTACTAAGTTCCTCCAAATAAAACTGAAACTCACTGCTTTACACTGTGTGGGTTTTGTATCCAGCTGACTCTTGGCGACCACAGAGGGACCGTGGCTGACTCCTTCACTCCACCATAACTTTACAAGGATCTGGGGCCTTGGTACCAGCAAGGCTCTTGTGCTCATTCTCTTCTCTGCATGTCCAGATGAATTTGGGTGAGTCTCTCCTGATCTCAGCTCTCCCATCGATGGTTGATAATCCTGAGTTTTATTTGTGGTGGATGAAAAAGCTGCCTGATTTCTCAGATGAGTGATGCTGAGAAAGTGCCTGGTTGACAGACTCTGGGAAGTTTCAGACTAGTAGATTAGGTAAGGGGCCACTTGGCACCTTTCCTCAAATTGACTGTCTTAACAGATTTGTTGGCATAAAAGTGAAGATACCTTATGAGAGCTCTTAGTTCCAAAAATAAGGAACATATCTCCTCCTGGTCAAGTATGACTTTCTTAGGCAACTGAGAAGCCTGTGGGAGTGGTGGAGTGCAGTCCACACAGCATGCAGCAGTCCCTTAGGGAAACGCACTCCTTCATTTAAAGAAACTCGCCCATCAGAGGACGCACACAAACATTTGGCCATCTAGTGTTCACAGTGCCCACAGTGATTTTAGACTGTCAGAGGGAGACACGTACAAGAGCTGAAATGACTCTGGGCTGACACTTCCAGGAGTTAAGCTCACAAACAGCACACTGGCCCACCACACACATTTATCAATAATAATTTTACCCTGATAAACTGACCTTGAAATGCACAACAATGTTTTCTACACAAAAGAAACAGGGGTGACACACTGCTAACCTCTGACTAACCCCTCAGCCAGGTTCAGGTACATTAGGTATGAATCTTACACTTGCAAGTACTTAGTTAATTGGGTAAACATTACCAAAGGAGATTCCATTCTGAAATAGCTAAAATGGGATTCTTTTGACATTCCAGAATTGTTTGTGTGTGTGTGTGTGTGTGTGTGTGTGTGTGCAGCTAGAGGAAGCAGGCTATAACATCAAACAGACTGAATGGGATGCTTATTTTGACTGGTATCTAGAAACTTCTAAAAGGAGAAATGATAAAATAACTTCTTTGCAGGAAACCAACAAAAAAAACTGCTTGAAAGTCTATCAGACATCTAAAAAGGCCCCTGAAGCTGACCCTGCTCTCCATTGCTCCTCCCTGTTCCTCTAAATGTCCACTGCAATGTTCTGCTTCTTGGTATTCGTCCCTCTCTGAACTTCCTTTTTATGACACCAAAATTGATGAAAGCAACAATAATTCAAAAGGCTTGGCAAAAATGTGATTATTTTGACCAAAATAAGATTAAAAAAAATTTTCTTTCTAAAATTCTGAGCTTAAGAAAACAAAAGCCCTTTTAGGGGGAACTTTCATCACCTCCCTGTGCCGTCGAGATGCAAATGTTCTACCTGCTCCTGTTAGGCATCTTCTCCTGTGCTTTGAGAGCCTGGTCTGCCATCAGGTACTTAACAACCCTGTACATTGGCAGCCAGTTGAGGAGACTGGGATTCCGAGGACTTTCTTTGTCCAGCTGTGCCAGCTCTTAGGGAAATTTGTCATAAGTGGTCCCTGTTCATAAGGGGCTTTCTTGTCTCACCTTCATTGCATCTGTCTGTACAACAAACGCCTTTACTTTCTTCGACTTCATTTGGGAAGAAACTTCCTGGATCTTTTGCAAGCTGCCTCCTTTGCACTCTCCTGTGGGGATGCCGCTTGCATCTTACTGGTTTTAATCACTACGAGGATATCCTAACAATGGATCCTTTAAATTAGAAAACCTTGGAAATTGTAAATTTTTAAGAGACCTCTCATTGTAAACAGCTGTTTTATTGGTACCTATGAAAGATGAAATTAAAAAGCAGATACAAAGAAATATAACGGCTAACCTTAAAACAAAGAAACAAACTGGGAAGCCTCATTTGTGGTATTAGCTTCCCCTCAATGGGTCTTACAGATACTAATAAAACATTAGGATAACTAACGTTAATCAGGTTGATTAACAAGGGACTAGGTAAAAGCCTAGGGGAAAGTCAACGGATCTCTTCCTAACAAGGTGGAAATTTTAAAGGGACTGGTTCCAGCAGGATGGAACCTTTAGATAGTTATTAAGGAATGGGATAAATCAAACAGTCTTTGATGGGATTAAAACAAATGTTTTGATACAATATTCCCTAAGGTTGGATTGGCCACAGGGACCCCTACTGGTCCCCTCAACATTAAGGGGCCACAAACAACTCTATTGACTCCAGTTTAAAAGAAAATTTTAAGGGAAGAAGGAAAAAAAATTACACTGAGATACGGGACCAACAATTCTTTGGGGAACAGTTAGGTCAATTAATCCAGTTAAAGACCGATAAAATGGCTTGGGTCCCTTGGCTCAACCCCACACTGGGGACCTCAAAGCCTTTACAAAGAAATGGATAAAATGCCTGGGGGATAAAAAGGAATATTTGTGGGATTCCTCATAAGACCAAGATTTGATAACAGGGTTCTAATGAAGGGTAGGGTTAAAGGTATAAGAGTTGATAGAAGTGAGATGAAAGTTTATTTTAAAAATTGGTGTCTTTGAATTAGCTTTATATAAGATGTTTACATCTCTTTTGCCTGATTATATTGCAGGGATGTACATTATGTCTCACTGGAGAAAGTTTCACCTGCCTGGTGCTATAAGACAGAGCATATAAATCTGCCCCTCTGACAATGCTAATTATATGTAATAAAGGAAACTAATGTGAGTTTAAACCTTGGGGCTATTATTCAGGGGCTAATTAAAGCAATAATGTAATTTTGCTTTGTTTTGCTTTTACGCCTAGGATAAATTGGTCTGGGTTTGACTTGTGCACTCAAAGAGGGCTTTTGTCAATTGCCTTGTGCAAACATTTGAAGTCATGATACATTGATCCCTAAAGCTCTAAAATGTAGAAGTCTTTTGATTTCCAGTTTAGATGGAAATTTCCCTGCTGATACAAGAAGCAAATTAAAGAAAATACATTAGGACAAATCAATCTTTTGGCATCATTTCGGTGTCACCCACTGACAGTGCCCCCTGAGGCGAATTCAGGATGGAGATAAACAGAATGACACATTCTTTGTTTTGAATATAGGGCCCCCTTAGAGAGTTAGGATCCATATCTAAGAAAGAATTTCACTACTCAGATTCCTGCATCTTCCTATACATAGAAAAGCACTAAAATCATTAGATACTCGTTTTTTCAGTGATTAGCAGTAATCTTTTCCCAACGGGCACACTTGAGTACACATATGTCTCAGCCAAAATTCATATACATACTATTTCCTCATCCAACCCTTCAGAGCAGTTCCTCAGAGCTATGTGACAGGCTGTCTCCTGGGCTACAGGCCTCAGTAATTTCCCCAAAGAAAACTGAAAATCATTGCTCGTCAGTTTATGGGTTTCCTTTTTTGTTCCAATCAACATCTCCCTACAGAGGGACTTGTCCTTCTCATTCTGAAAAATATTCTCTTTTTCAAAAGGAGGCTCCTGGCTTCCCAGGCTTTGGCCACAGAGGGACCTCTAGCTCACAAAGGAGCTCAGAAAGTGCCTGAGAAGCTTGCAGAACACAACAGGTCTCACCCTATGACTCAGCAAAACTTGGATGAAAAGTGATAGGAGGGTAGGAACCAGCAAGACCAGGTCAGGCTCTAATAATTCCACTTAAAACACAGAGTTCAACTTCCTGGCCAGACAACTGAGCCAACTCGCTGGGCCGCATCCTACCCCATCCCCAGTCTTGCTGCAGCCAACTCAGCAGTATGACACTTAGGTGTATCTGTGCACCATCTTCCCAAGACTGAGAGTGTCCAATACATTATAAGATGCAAAGAACATGGGACTATGTGTACCCAACAGCTCAGGTCCCAACAGACCACACACTGCAGCTCACAGCTGTCTTCACCCTCCCAGCCAGGCAGTGATCCTAGCTCTTGCAAAGTTCTCAAGGCCAGCATACCTGGAGCAGAACCAAAGTTGATAGGAAGAAGCTGGAAAGCAGATTTTATGATGGGAAATGGGAATGGGAAACAGATTGTAGGCTGAAAAACCTATTGGTCTAATGCCCCAAATTCCCAATTCTGTGATAAATAGGCTTTGTTGCTCCCCAATTAGTTGAACGAGGATGACTGACGAAGAGCTGTGAGGTGAGGTCAGGCTGTGCTCCTCCAGCACTTCTTTACACTAACGATGAATCAACAGAAAAAGAAAGTAAAGAAACAATCCCCTTTAAAATAGCACCCAAAGTAATAAAATACCTAGGAATAAATCTAACCAAGGAGGTGAAAGAATTATACACAGAAAACTATAAACCACTGATGAAAGAAATTAAAGAAGACTTTAAAAAAATGGACAGATATCCCATGCTCTTGGATTGGAAGAATCAATATTGTTAAAATGGTCACACTTCCCATGGCAATCTACAGATTTAATGCAATCCCTATCATATTTCACAGAACTAGAACAAATCATAATAAAATTTATATGGAACCATCAAAGACCTAGAATTGCCAAAGCATTACTGAAGAGAAAGAAAGAGGCTGGAGGAATAACTCTCCTAGACTTCAGACAATACTATAGAGCTACAGTCATCAAGACAGCATGGTATTGGTACCAAAACAGACATATACACCAATGGAACAGAATAGAGAGCCCAGAAATGAACCCACAAACTTTTGGTCAACTAATCTTCGACAAAGGAGGCAAGAATATACAATGGAATAAAGACACTCTCTTCAGCAAATGGTGTTAGGAAAACTGGACAACAGCATG